TGCTGGCTAGTTTTCTCTGTGCAGATTGTGTAGCTGGAGCAATGACTGATTTCAGACTACCAACACAGTGTCACTTACTCAAAACCTGGAGAAAGAGGCATGCAATTATCTCATAACTGATCTCAGAATTACATATCGAGTTTTCAAGAAAAGATATGATTTTGTGGGAAGTTAATATTGTATGACCAAAGAAGCTACAAAAGCCTGTTAAAGGAGATCGGGTCCAGTGGCACAATAGCAGAGCACAGCTAATCTCATACCACCAGTACCTCATAAGCAGAAACAAGTACATCCAGCCTTGGTAGCTTTTTCCCTACAGTATGCAGAGATGGGGACCACCTTCCTCCAGACCTTGGAAACCAAAGTTTAAATTCATTTGGAAAAAGATCATTTATCTATGGTGCATTAAATGATGCTCATTTTAACGATTTACTTTATTACTTTGTGTGTGTGTGTGTGTGTGTGTGTGTGTGTGTGTGAACACAGTGTGCATGGAAGCCAGTAAAGGACATTGGAGACTCTGAAATTTCAGTTAAGGGTGCCTGTGAGCCAACTGACATAGGTGTTTGGAACTGAATTCAGGTCCTGTGGAAGAGCAGTATATGCTCTTACCTGCTGAGTCTTCTCTCCATTCCCCTATATGATGTTCTGAGACCATATATATATATATATATATATATATATGGAATGAGGAAATTAAAACATTTCTCATGTATGTTTCCTCATATTTTTTCTGCTGATAATAACCGAGAATCTAATTTTACAGCATTTTAAATGTATAATTGCTTTTCTTTTATTTGTAGTCAGTTTGAATTTACTGTGCCCATCTAATTGAAATTTTGTGTCTTTTGAACTATATCTCCCCAATCCTTTTGTCCTCTGAACCTCTGATAATCAATATTTTTGTCTTCCTTTTTGTGATTTCAACTTTTACAATCTTTTATTGAAGGCACAGATGCTTCTTTTAGTTGAATAAAAAGAGGATACAACATGAATTCTGATTTTACAGGTATTATACTTAATATTAAAATTATTGATAGTACATGTCTATCATTCAAAATTTTTATGAGAACAACTTGGTGAAAACTAACTGAAATGCAGAGAAACTTCCTGTCACCAAAGTTCAAATGGAAGAGTTTCAGGAACTGAAACTTGACCAGAGCTCTGAGGTGAACTTTCTAAAGTCAGTCTCATTCATGGGTCTGAAGAAAAATCAGTTTATTGCATTTCAATAACATTAAAAAGATCTTTGGAGTCTCTATCAGTATGTGTTGACAATGAATAGTCCCAATAGCTCAAAATATTTTTATTTCCATGCATGCTTTATTATTTTTGTAAATATGTGTTTGCAGTTGATATTCTCATTTGGAGAACTTTTTTCCCTATTTACAAAGAAAGTTATTTTGGTTATAAGTTTGACAGAGATAGAACAGTTTGAGAAACAAAATAACTATATATATATATATCTTATCAGACAATGATATATCTAGATTTTTAATCATCCTCTGACTTTTTTCCCCCTCATTGTTAGGGATCAAACCTAGAGATTTGCAAATGATAACTACACTGTCCAGCCCATAAAAAGATTATGATGCTTTTATCACCATAGTTATAATAAGACCATCAGCGTCATTAGGGACTAGAAAATATTCCCACAGAGACATTCTAAAGTATAAAACAGTTTTCCTATGCTGCTTGAAATACCAAGACTTCACTCTATGAGTTCTGTGGATAGCTCCTCTGATGGTAAGTCTGGGGGCCGGATATTCTGAATTGTGAGTGGGGAAGTGGAAGATTTGTTCCCCAGAGCACACATAGCCCATGTGATCCAAAGGACCTTAAAGCAGGTGAGTGCTTCAACCCTAGAAATGGTTTCTCTAAGTGGAATCCGGGGTGAGAAATTTAAGGCGAGTTTGGCAAACCAGAGGATGTCCAGAGAATACTACGATAGAAAGTGATTCAGTGAGAGGGAAGCTTGTTCAGTAAACTTTCAAGAGACCTAGACATGCTTCGACTTGGGAAGCATCTCGGCCAGGTACTCTGTGTGTCACCAGATATCCAAAGCTGCTTCAGCAGGAGGGTCTATTTCTGTGAGCCAATGTTTGGCATTTACTGATAGAACAATATTTTTAAAATTCTTCTGAAGTATTTGACAAGGATTCTCCCATTTGATATAACAGCTGTTCTGTGATATGATTCTAGCTCTTAGTACTCTTTTACCTATGTTGAAAATGAGCAACTTACTTTGTTAATTGGTTCAAGAACATGAAAGACAATCAGGGACAATCAGGACTTGAAGCTTGTCTCGTTTGGCTACAGCTTTTATAGGTTTCTGCCATTATCCATGGGAAATGTCTGTTATAGGGAGGTAGATTTAGAATAATTAGAAAAAAGACAAGGAAGAGAGAATTTGGAGCTAATTACAAAGAATATCTCCCTGGCTTTTGGATATGTTCTACAGTGTGACAGATTGTGTCAGGGAAAAGGGAAAATTTTGTGATGCAGAAGAGATTAATGGAAACATTAAATGTTAAATATTGGAGATAGTCTAAAGGGAAGAAAGCCTTGATACAGCAGGGAATGCAGATTAGCCTTCATAGGGAATTTTAATTTAACTTCCAAAGTCCTTTAGAACTTTTAGGTCCTATAACTGAGAGAGTCAGAACAAGAGCTCCAGGTAAGACTATGTTTTGAGGTATATTTATACTGAGAAGATCCAAATTTCTATAGTGTTAAAGTTAGAAATAAAGCTATGATTGACTTTGGTTCAGATGTATCAATGGATAGTGGCAGTTTTCCACCCTCTTATATATATATATTTGTACCCATGCAGATCTCCTGGAGTTGTCTTTGGTTATCTCATCTAACACATTCAATCTGAGAGCATCTTTAGCCTTAGTTTTCTAAGTTTCTCTGACATCAGTCAATGAGTCTCACAGATTTTATTTTTTTAGTTAATCCTCTACCACAGTAACATTATTTCATAATATAACAACTGTATTTTACAATCCTCAAGTTTGTTTAACCAACACCATAATGTAGTTGAGTACTGTGACATAGAACTATGTTCTAGCATGTGGATGGCAGAGACAAAGTATTCAAGAAAATTCCAGGTCAACCTGCCTCATATAGCAAGATCTGGGTCAGCTACAGCTAGAGAAATGATCCCATCATATCTTCACCTTCTCCCCAAAATATAAGATGATATTAATGCAAATATCATAAGGTAAATATATAAAATAAACTAAATTTTCTGTCATAGTGGTAATCTAACACATATTTAACACATGGTAGTTCCTATACTTTGAATTTGAAGGAGCAAGCATAATGTGGATACTTCATAAGGAAAAGATAAATAATTTTATTTTCCCCTCAAATATATTAATAAATATTTGGATTTTAATAGATAGTGTTTCTGGAGTAATTTACTAAGAGATAAATTTAATTTATGTCTAAAAACATAGCCTTATGAGGTAGGAGAGACTTAGATTAATGTAATGTATATTGTATAAAGGACAGTTCCTGAGCAAGAAAACTGAAAAAAAAAATATCTCCTAAAGTTAGATAAGTTTGAATAAAATATAGAAGCATCAATTGGTCTCTCAATTGACCTGATGTATAAGGTTAGAGGCATCCTTTCATTTCTCAGAAACAATCTACCTTTATTAGGGTTAAAAAGAGCAAATACACTAACACATTTGCTGCATGAACAGGAAAACATGATTACGTTGTTTTCTTTAGCCTTGTTTTATGTATTCCTCAAAGTTCTTACTAATTTCTTTCTTGAAGGAGAGAAAATTACAGGTTGCAATTAACTGTGAGGTAATAGAGACTTAGAATTCTGTCTCAGCTTAAGCTGTGGAGGATGACAGGTTAATGGACCTCTACATTGCAGTGTGCCTTTGGTAGCAGAGTTGGAAGATCTGTAAGCCTGCTCTAAAACTTCATGTTGCTATGGGTGAAAATAAACAATGAATAGGATGATTAAAAAGTGACAGAGACTTGATGGAGATGGTTATCCAAGATAATAGTAAAAGAAAAACAAAATGCCATATCTACATAAACATTTTTTCAGAGAACAGGCAATAAGTGGTGTACCATGAAGCTAACTTTTCACATAGCATTCCATACTTCAAATGATTAATCAAAATGACAGTTCACTTTTAATAGGTAAAAATAATATTGTTGGGGGGGACAGAACAACAGAAGCTACAGGTTTAAACTTGCTAGTAAATCAACATGCACAGAATAGGAAATGAAGAGCAAAAATGGACTCAAAGAAGCATGAAAAACCCATGAGTTGGTGCTGGAGAGACTGCTCAGCGGTTAAGAGGATTGACTGCTCTTGCAGAGGACCTGTGCTCAATTTCCAGCACTTACATGGTGGCTAACGACTGTTCTTAACTCCAGTTCCAGGGGATCAGGTCTGTCTTCTGACATCTGTGGGCACTACAGGACATGAGTGCACTTACATATATACAGGCAACACACTCATACAGATTAAGAAAAAAAAAAACCTATAATAAAAAATAATACACATGTTCAGAGGGTACAAAACTCCAGTGAGAAGAGAGTGAGAACAGGTTCCTATGAAGCCTGCTTTCTCATTTAAAAAACCTGACAGAGCTCCCATTATCATGGATTATTCATGCATAGTTTGGGCATATGTTAGTTCATGTAACATCTTCATTCTAGGTCAGTTTATTTTCTCAGTTTCCAAATTAGAGAATACATAAAAGTATTGATACTCAGTAGCAAGCACAAGATAAAATGGAAACCCAGGGAATTTCATTCTACCCACTGATAATGACCAGCATAATAAGCAGCATGGAACCTACTGATTGATTTTAAAATCAATGAAAGAGAGATGATACACTCTTAACACAAAAAAGTATATTTTGTTAAAAATGAATTATTTATTCTTATTTCTGATTCATCAAGCCTTAACATGAGCTAGAACCTGAACAGTGAAATGAGTCCTCAGTTCTGACTGACTTACCATGCTCGCATTCAATGGCTCAGTCTTCATGCCTTCTGTGTTAACACTAGTTGGAATCCCTGGCCTGGAGTCAGTGCAGTGTTGGATCGGGATTCCATTCTGTGTCATATACATCATCGCCTTGATGGGAAACTTCCTCATTTTAGTTATAATCAAAAGTGAAAAGAGCCTCCATATACCCATGTACATTTTCTTGGCCATGTTGGCAGCCACGGACATCGCCCTTGACACGTGCATTCTGCCGAAAATGTTGGGCATCTTCTGGTTTCATCTGACACAGATTTCTTTTGATGCTTGCTTGCTGCAAATGCAGCTCATCCATTCCTTCCAGGCAATAGAATCGGGCATCCTGCTGGCCATGGCCTTGGATCGCTATGTGGCCATTTGCAACCCTTTAAGGCATGCCACCATCTTCTCTCAACAACTTATGACTCACCTTGGACTTGGTGTGATGCTCAGAGCATTCATTCTTGTATTCCCACCCATATTGCTCATCAAAATCTGCCTGAAGCACTACCGGACCACCGTTATCTCTCACTCTTACTGTGAACACATGGCCATTGTGAAACTGGCAGCTGATGATGTCCGAATCAACAAGATATGTGGCCTATTCATTGCCTTCGCCATCTTAGGGTTTGACATAATCTTCATCACCTTCTCCTATGTTCAGATCTTCATCACTGTCTTCCAGTTGCCCCAGAAGGAGGCACGATTGAAAGCCTTCAACACCTGCATTGCTCACATCTGTGTCTTCCTGCAGTTCTACCTGCTGGCCTTCTTCTCCTTCTTCACACACAGGTTTGGTTCTCACATCCCCTCCTACGTTCACATCCTACTGTCAGATCTTTACCTGTTAATTCCCCCTTTCCTCAACCCCATTGTCTATGGTGTCAAAACTAAGCAAATTCGTGAACAAGTCCTGAAAATTCTTCTATCCCGAAAACCTTCTTGAACATTACCAAGTCCTTCTGTTGAAATGCTAGCTTGCTTCTAATTAGCAACTTGAATGATTTAGCAATTTCTGCCTTCATATAGTAATGTGTGACATAGCATTTCAAATGTTAATAACACAGATATAAACATTAAAGTAAAAAATAATAACCTTGCTTATCAAACACACAATCTAAAAATCTTATGTTGTGTTCTCAAATTATTTAATGTATTAGCCTACTTTGGGTCTGTCTATTTAAACTTAAATGTTTTTGTACCATGTTGATATATCCAACAACAAATTTCAGTAAACGTCAATTGCATTTGAAAATTCCTAAGCTCTACACATCATTTTTAGTCTGCTATCAACAAACACCTGTGATTTTGCCTCTGTTCCCCTTCCTCACTGGCTTCTTGTCTACATTTTCACAGATTTGGAAACATCAATCTGGTTTTCACACTTTATATGAATGTTTATCAATGTATAGCTAATATTAAATTATAATTTATGTGAAATTAAAGTAATAGACCAAAGTTATATAAAATCAAGAATTTAGTAAAAACACAGAGAAATCATGAACTCATTACCATAATTATAAATATTCTTTCAACAAAACAAAATCAAAGATGCAGATTTATACACTGAATATTGTTGTATATCCACATGGATTAGTGATTTTTAATGCAAATTTGAATTTTACTTAAACTTAGAGGACAATGAATAGTTGAATAGAGAGACGAATTATGCTGTATGTAGAAATGGCCTATTGCCAGCATCTTGAGAATTGCTTCCTATCTACCCTTATGTCAGAAATGCTTAGAACAGAGTTTGTCACTTCTGACAACACAAAAATTATTTTCCTGCTGTCAGTCAAGGGTTTGGATCATAAAACATTGAATCTGGAGCTCATGTAATATTAAAATCTACCATAAAGATAATTTGTAGGCTCAGAAGTTAATTCCACTTTATTAATGTAATAGAAACATGCAGACTTGAAAGATTGATGAGCAAACAGGGATGGAGGGGATGAATAACTGAAAGAATGTGTACTTGAAAAGTCACATGAGAGCCTACTCTCTCACAACCATGGTAAAGGAACTGGATGAAATCATGGAATGATGGAATGAGCATTGACAGAAGTGGAGGGAGATGCTTGGGGTTAGATTATTGGCCTGAGATGGGGACAGGGGAAGGGAAAGGAGACATGATGTGTGGGATAATCAAAACTAAGAATGCGTGAAAAAGCCTTATGGAAACCCACTAGTAAGTAAGAAATTTTCAAAGTACATTACAAAAAAAGAGCTTGAACAGAATTACTCCTCATTGGCATACAATATTACTCCCAGAAGACATGAGTTACAAAATGAAAACCATAGTATCAAGCATAGTATTCTTGCCCATTAATTATTGATCAGAGAGAACACAGAAGATTCTAAAACTTCACAGATTATTGCCATTGCCCTTGGTTATTCACCATAACTACAAGGCAAGAGCTTATTCCTGAAGACACCACACAATTTGGTTATATCCCAGAGAGAAATCAATTTCAAACCAACTGTGAAATGTGCTCTCTGCAGGCTGGCTTTCATACTTCTAGAAGGTGCTAAGCTGCTGTAGGAGGAAAGATATCAAGGTTCTTAGCACCAGAGCCTGTAAGCTGCATCACCAACCTGACAGGCAAGATGTACCCACTGGTGCCACAGAGGCACGACTGTTATGGAGTCACTGTTTTCTGATTGGTTTAATGATGATTCATGGGAAATAATTTCTGTTTTCAAGAAAAAAATCTAATGATACATTTTGTGCATTTCACACTGTATATCTTGATCATATTAAATGCCCTCCCCTATCTTCACCCCCCCCAAACAACCCCAGGATTTCACATTTCTGATTGGTTTAATGATGATTCATGGGAGATAATTTCTGTTTTCAAGAAAAAAATCTAATGATACATTTTGTGCATTTCACACTGTATATCTTGATCATATTAAATGCCCTCCCCTATCTTCACCCCCCCCAAAACAACCCCACTGGATTTCACACATTCTGTAATATATGCTGAGGTCATTTGACTGAGAATGTTCCCTATAGACTCCAAGTATTTGGACATTTTGTCCCCAGTTTTTGTTAGGGAGGTCTTAGAAAGTGTGACCTTGCTGGAGGAAGCATGCCACTGGGGCTGGGCTTAGAGAGTTCTTAAGCCTTGCCTGATTTCCAGCCTCTCTTTGCTACCTGTGCCTGCTTGAAGATGTGATCGCTTTGCTTCTGCTCCTACTTCAGCCACCTCTGCTGCCATGCCTCCCTGCCATGATGGACTGACTCTTGGCCCTCTGCAACTGTATGCTAGATAAACTCTTCCTTTCTTTTAAACTCTTCCTTTTATAAGTTATCTTGTACATGGTGTTTTATAACAGCAGCAGAAAAGTAACTAAGACATATGTTAAGGCCAACTGAATCAAGTTTGTATCCTCAGATGTCCCCTGGTGTGAGTCCATCCACTGGAGCCTCATCAACCTACCTAGTGTCATGTCTTCAAGGAAGATCAGCTCTTCCTCACCCAGGGGTGATTAGTTGTCAATAGCTCCTCAGTGAAGGATGGGGCTTCTTCCTCATTTATCCAGCTTTGTGGGGGGTTGTCTGCTGTGGGTTTGCATGGGTCTTGTGAAGCTATCTCCATTGTATAAACAAGTTTCCAGCTGCCTGGAAAACTCCCTTTTCTTGTGGCCGTGCACCACCCCTGGCTCTTATAGGATTTTATTTTTAAGTTTTCCTTACAATGTATATTTTTATTGAATGATTTTTCATTTTCATAGAATACACCTTAAGCATATTTATAAACCCCTCACCTGTCTGCACCCCCTTCCCAGCCTGCCCACAGGATTTCATGCATTCTGTAATGTATGTCAAGGCCCATCAAGTCAGGTTTGTGTACCCAGGTGTCCCTCAGTGTGAGTCCATTTACTAGAGCCTGCATCACTCCAGTCCACCTTGCATCACTCCCTTCAAGAACATCTCCTCTCCCTCACCAAGCAGTGACCAACTGCCAATAGCTCCTCAGTTAAGGTTGGGGCCGTCTACTCATTTCTCAAGTTCTATGCTGGTTTTTGTCTGTTCGAATTTGCATAGGTCTTGTGCATGCTTCACCATTGCTGTAAGTTTACATTAACAATTTACCAGAAGCCTGGAAGGACCTGTCACCTTGTGGCCATGCGTCATCCCTTGCTCTTACTATTTTCCTTCCCCTCTCCCATAATGATTCCTGAGCCCTGGATGTGTGATGTTTCATAGAGACATCCTATCCAAGGACACACATACTCCAGTCTCTTATTTTCTACAGTTTGGTCCATGTGGCCTTCTGTGTTCATCATACTCTGTTGCATGAAGAAGCTTCCCTGGTGAGAGTTGAGAGATTCATTAGTATTCTCTTTGTCCCCTGCTTTGCTACGTTCCCCGAGCCTTAGGTGTAGTAGTTCCATTGTAGATATGTTACTTAGGGATGGGCATCTTACAGACACTTATTCTCTGTGTGTGACCAATTCTTTCTTCCCTCTCTTTTGCAATGGCCCCTGAGTCCTGGGTGGCAGAGTTCTATCTAGGAGCATACATGCTGAAGTCTCTTGTTTATAGTTTGAGCAATTGTGGTTGTCTGTGTTAATCACCATCTGTGAAATGAGGGAGTTTCACTGGAGAGAGTTGAGAGATACAGTAATACTCTCTCTGCCCCCTGTTTTCCTGTTCCTTGAGCACTTAGGGCTGGGCATCTCACAGACAGTTATTCTCTGCATTTGACCACCAGCTGTGGAACTCTGTAATAGTTTCCATCTGTTGCAAAAGAAGCTCCTTTGACAAATTTTGAGAGGTGCGCTTGGCTGTAAATATAAGGATACATATTTAGCACATAGTAAAAATTTAAGTTTTTCTAGGGGTATGACAGTTGTTGGCTTTTCTCTAGGGTCTATGACTTCTCCAGTCATGTGTTTTTAGCTATGTTTCCAGTAGCACACATGAGTACCCTGCCATTGAGAGGTCTTAAGTTCTAGTAAGAGAGATATCAATTATCCCCAAGATAACAGGGTACTACTGCAAGAATAGCAACAGATTGTTGTGCTGGTCGTTGTTGTGGCTATCGGGCTTTACAGCTGGTTTGGACCATTAATTGGTCTAATTAGCAGCTTACAAAGTATCCTCTAAAACTATGAGAACTAGTTTTCAAGCAGGAGGTTTCCATGTCAGTTCCTGCTTGATTGCTCTAAGTTCTGTCTCCGAAGTAAGTCCTGTCTTCAGCAATAGGGTCTTACCTTCAAGTTCAGGACAGAATTTCATAACTGCTATTGTAACCTGTTCAAAAACCCATGGCTGAGGAGGTTATAGGCCCTAGAATGAAAAATGCTATTGCTACTTTTCTAAATGTTGTCAAAGTATCTTCTTAATGTTTATGCTTATATTTATGGATATAAGCTGCTGTCAACTTTGGTCAGTTTATTCTTCCAGTGAGCATCACTCACGAGGTAGATGCATAACTAGTCAAAGTGCTGAGAGTAAGCCAATGAGAGTTCAGTCTTATTGGGTCACCTCCATGAACACCCCAACCCTAAAAACCCCATTAAGGTTAAGGGAACTTCATAGAGGAGGCAAATAGCATGTAAGAGATAGAGCGTGGGGGGAAATGCTGTCAAACAATGGCTCCTGGACATGAATAGTTACCGCACTCATGAACTCACATCAGCTCAGTTTCCCTGTAGAGATGCAGGGAGATTATCTCTAGGCTGTCATTCTTGCAGAGGAGCTATTGGCAGTGGATATTTGACAAGAAGAAGAGAATCATTCTTTTTGAGAATGTGGCCTCTGGTAGGGTTTCCATGCTCCGGGGGACGACCCCACATCCATGCACGTATGGGCAACATTAACTAGACCTAGTTGCTTAGCAAAGACAAACAAAAAAAAAATCATGAAGTTGTAAGGGTTATGTTGAAAGGGGTTGTGTGGAGTAAATGTGATCCTATTTCATTGTATGCAGACAT